CTCTCTGTGTCAAGCACACACACACACACACACACACACACACACACACACACAAAAGCACTGAGTCAGCGATGCACTGTGTGTATGCAATGACACATGAACATCACTGGGGCATGTTTGGAGCACTCTGTGCTGCCTGACAGCGGGTGTCGTGTCGTGCACGTTTCTCACTGTGTCGTCCGTGTCCTGCTTCTTCAGCTGCTCGGCCATGTATGTGATGGAGGCGATGGCTGACTTCAGGTTGGGAGGGAGGATCAGACAGTAGCTGTCAGTGTCCGGGAGCCGCTGGAGCTGCACTGTGCTCTCACACCTTAAACACAGCGAGGCAGAGGGAGGGTGTGGGGGGAATGCAACAAAAAAAGGGATGCAAAGTAAAAAAAATATGCATTGAGACACCGACATTGGCTGCACCAAGGAATTTAGCCAGGTCTTTAAAACTTTCAAAGTCCAACAAATAATATTTGTGAAGATGGTGGAAGATTTTGTTACTTTTGTCAAAAAGCATATTAAATAAATATATATTTTATACACCTGTGCTATTTTCTGGTGCTTTACATACACTGTAAAAATGTTTTTACAATACTTTATAGTCTAATAGTCATATCTTGTTTTACAAAGGTAAGCCTACACTACTGCTACTTGCTTTAAAGGAACAAGGACATTTTGGGAAATATGTGTATTTGCTTTCTGGTGAACAATAATAATAATAACAATAATAATAATGATTTTTGGAGGTGCCGGTAGAGCCTAGCTGTCTCTTGTTTTCAGTGTTTGTGCTAAGCTAAGCTAACAGACAGAGGGTTCAATCTTCTCATCAAACTCTTTGCGAGAAAGTGAATAGTGCTTGTAATTTGTAACTGCTACCATTTTCACAATAAGCATCTTGGGCACAAACATGTCCTTTAGTATGACACATGTATCTTATCGTGTAGGTCAGTTAAAAAAGGAAAGAGAAAAATATATATATAAACAGGGAGGTATAAATTACAAGTGATGGTGCAACACAATGAGTGCAGGGTACTAGCTATTGAATCTTAATAAGAAAATAACACAAGAAAAACTGTACAGAAAGGTGCATCAGTTACTATGTTGTAAATTACAGACATAAATAAGGAATGGAAAAATGTATTAAGATTATGATTATTTTTCATTATTATATATACAATAGTTATGTAATAGTTTCTTTGTTTTTAAGTCTGATTTTAATTTTAATATTCATTATGAAATCCAGATCCAAAGTATAATCACAGTGAACACATGGACAACGAAGAAACACACTCTTATGTGGGGCTCTCTCTCCTGTGAAGAGTGTCATGCTCATACTTAGACGCACGTCCTCTGGAAGCAGTTAAAACACGCGGCAGCACCCGTCACAAATGCCCCCTAAGACCAGATTTATGTTGTGCATGTCAGGAGTCACTGGCGCAGCATTGTTCACCTCTGCTGTAGCAAACCACGGCTGACGCTAGCTGTCCACTGCAGGACATACAGAGCAGACGTAGATGTCAGTGTTTACAGTATGTGTCCTTGTGTAACCTCTGGAGGCATATTAGCATGTTATTTATGCTCACTATTTAATTTGTGTGAGTCAGAAAAAAATCAACAGGACACAATGTTGGTATTCTTGTCCATGAAAAAAGGGCCTTCCAGACATATATTATGACATCTAAAGTCTGCTTGATGTGTGTTTGATATGTTTTCTCTGTAAAAAAAAAAATTCCAGAATCTATGAATATTGCCAAAGTTTGACTTTGAATGAGCACAGAAAAACTTTTTACTTTCAGCAGATGCATGTGAAAACCTCCTTCTAGTATCAAACTCTTCACAGACAGCATTCTGCACAGTGAAGACGTAAAAATGTAGGAACAAGAAGAAAAACTAATTTCCAAGTGGAAAGAAAGCATTTAACTTGCATTTGGCAAAAATTAAATTTTATTTAATTCACATTTCTGAATATTTGACCCAACAATATATACCCTACTTATATAGCAGGTCATGTCACACACACTTGTAACACAGGTTGAAGCAAACACTTAAATAGGGTGTTAACTACAGATTGCACTTCCTCCTTCTGCCCTGAGCTTCCCAACACCCCATTCACCCTTCACCTCCTGTAAAGCTTCTCTACATTTTATGATAGCAATTTATGTGTGTTTTATTTTTTGGATGTTTTGATTCTACATTGGGAAAGGTAGTGGTAACCCAACAGCTGAGTATTGGATAAACTGTATAGTCTCAAGCCTGTTTTTCTGAGTGAGGGAGAGTTGTCATTTTATAAATAAAAGGTTTATACTTGGCAGCACTGACATTTCACTTTTGTACACTGCATTTTCTTCTATTGTGGTAATGATAATTCCATTCACAATTTTGTATAAAGATTAGAACACAATATTCACATTTAAATGTTACATTTTTATATTGAATCAGCATCTTTCTAATATTGACATTTTACTTATTTATTAAGTTATTTTAGGATTGTTAAGAACTAGTGGACTCAAAGAATCCTCCATCAGTTGCTGTCACATGATTTTTGGCAGCTCTATGTTTGAATACTATGTACTTATGACATTTACATTACAACCTGATTAATCCATCAACATTGCTACAGTAACAGGTGATGTACAGAATTTAGCCTTGGTGACAATGAGCCACAAGACTGTGAGATGGCTGAGGAGGGAAAGTTATTTGTGAGCGGTGGAGAAGTTGCTGTGATGGGCTGGTGAATGGTTGAAGTGGAAGGTTTCCACACCTGGTCTGTTAAGCAACTATACATGATGAGGCAATTAATGTGTCATACTTGCAAATGCAGCATACATGAGGAACTTTAAAACGCAGTAAACAAATAAGATAAGTTAACATTTCGCACAAGGAATAGAACAGTCTATCACCCAGATGCAGCTTTGAGTGTGCTTTCTTTTTAATGTGTTATTTTGATGTATAACTCTACAGTGTATGTGTTCTTGTCTTTAACATACAGTTAAAGCAAAAAACTAGCTCCACTGGTATTCTTTATCACTGTTGTCACACGATCATTAAAACGCTGCTAGAGGAGAGAGACGGAGAGACCGCTACATCGTCCCCTCTTGAAGGCGTCTGGCTCCACTCCACAGTGCACCTGTCAGATTGGCACTTCAGTACATGTCTACATATATATGTCTGTATAGAGTGCACACAGTGTGCACATTGCGTGTGATGTTAATCATGTGCAGAACCTCAGGCACCAGAGAGGGGAAGGCGTCAGTGAAGGAGCAGGACGAGTTATCAGAGTCACAGAGGGACAGCGTGACAACAGATGGAGTGCTGGACAATAAAAATGAGCTCCTGTAGGACGGGCGTTGTGTGTGTGTGTGTGTGTCTTGTGTGTGTGTGTGTGTGGCTGTGTGTGTGTGTGTGTGTGTGTTCAGGGCAGAGCTATGTGGTGCTCTTCATGGTGCATGCCATTCACATTCCACGGCTTGTATTCATTACTGCAGATACATGGGGCCCTTCTCTCTGTGACACACACACCCTTACACAAGCACACGTATGGTACTGTATTTACATGTGGATAATACATTGGTTCATGATCAACTCAGTTAAACATACAACCTTGTGTGATGTATAGAAACAATGACCTTTTGGTACCAATTAAATACACTCAAATGGAGATGCACATGCAAGCAGCTAACATCATCAAACATGCAGGAAATTCTCATAAATCTTCTGTAAAGGACAGCCCTTGGCTTCCAGTTAGCCTCTGACAGAATCACAAGATTAACAGATGGATGAAGGCAAAGACATCACTGTGACACAGACTGGATAATAGTGCCCGACAGCGCAACCACCATCTCTTCCACATCAAAAACGACAAAATCCTCCTGTGCCCCGATCACTCAGCACCGGTCTTTCCCTTCCACTCATTCCCTCCACCTTCTTTCTGTGGGATTACCCCTTAATGCCAAACCTAAACAGAGGCTTAATGGCTGGCGACTGCGGATGGGGGTGTGGGGCTTAGCTGGGGCTGAATCTGATGCCTTTGGAACGGGATGAGAGATCCCAAGCACTGGGCTTGGTTCAGGGGACTGTGGAGCTGTTTATGATGACATGGCTGTGTGGAATGGCTAAGGCCTACTGGCAGATTAGCCAGAGTGAAGCCAGCACGTTTGAAGGGACTGTACAGTTTGAAACAAGATTTTAGATTTTAAAATGTATATTCTAATAATCTCCTTTATGGATTGATATAGTGACTCAACCCATTGTCAGAGTAAGTCAAGGAACAGGGTAGTTTTGAGCTAAACAGACAAAGGAAGAGCAAAAGCTCCATCAACAGAAAATATCAAAGCCCTGCATACACTGCAGCTAACATGGTTTCAAACTAGGGATCGCAATTTTAGTCAAACATTTAGTCGTTTGGTCCACTACCTTAGTCCAGATTGAAATATCTCAACTATTGGATGCATTGCCATGAAATTCTGTATAAAATATTCCTTGCCTTCCTTCCTTTAGTGAAATATCTCAACAATTATTTGATGGCTTGCAATGAAACTTTGCACAGATATCTATGGTTTATAGTCAACCCTCATGGCTGACAAATATTTCAACAACTGATGGAAATTTGGAACAGACATTCATGTTCCCTAGTGCCATCATCAGGTCAACATTTTAATTTGTCGAATGCTTTGGTTTCCAAATACCTGCAAAAGCGTGTGTTATGTGCTAATTAATGAAGGTTAGCATGGTAACATACTAAACTTAGATGAATATGGTATACCGGCTAAACATGAGCATGTTAGTTGCTGACAATAGCATTTGGTTAACATTATGGCCTAAAAAGCAGCTAGCATGACTTGCATACTCATTTCTGCTTGAGTACGAAAGCTTCATCACAACAAATAGACTAAAGACAAAAAAAAAATTGTTTCAATAAGAAGGGGTTGAATATCAAAGTAGCAAGCTGATGAACCAATTTCATTTTTTGCTGATGAAAGCAGTGACACAAGATGAATTAGTGTTTCTAACCCAGAAAATAAGATCAGCTCATTCAACTTTTAGGTTTTACAGTGAGTTGACTCAATAAGAAGCTATGAGCTACACACTGAAATCCCACGTAATTCGTCATATCCTGTACATCATACTAATAAAATTGCCTCTTTAAAATAGATATTTTTAAAGTAACCAAAACTAAAATAAAAGAAATAATTCTTTACAAGAGTCAAGAGACAAGAGTCTGGGCCAGGCTAGCTATAGGCACAGCTAAACTGTACTTTGAGCTAAATGCTAATGTCAGTACGCTAACATTCTCACAATGACAATGTTGACATGCTGATGTATAGTGTTTATCATGTTCACCAGCTAACGTTTAGCCCCTTTAGCATGCTAAAATTTGCCAATTAGCATTAATCACCAAGTAAAGCTGAGAGCTGTGACAATCGACTGGATTTTTGAGGCGTTTCACTCAAAACCACAAATGTCAATCTCATGATGGTGCTAGAAGAAAATTAGGGGACCAAGACCACAGGCATTAATCCTCTGGGGACCAAAAAAAACTAATATTTATTTTTATTATATTACATTATATTTTATTTTGCAGCTAGCATGGATAAAAAGTGTGTCCAGTTTTACTCCAAAGTCAGGATATAACAAGACTTAATGATAACTCATTAATCATTTGAAATGACACTGAGCAGTAAACTCCATTTGGTGTTATCCAGTTGATCCGTCCTTTCAGTTCATCAGAGTGCTTTTAATGTAACTGAATTAAATATGGTATTAAATATGTGCAGCTGAAGGAAGTGTGCTGTTATTGTCTTGTCAGATTGTCTGAGCTGCTGTGGCAATGGCTGTAATTCTGCCAAGTCTAACATGCTCTGTTCTTTACTATAATAGCTAGTCTGGCATCAGATCCAACATTCACACTTTGGCACACTCTACAAAGAAGATTCATGCCTGCGCAGGCTTTTATTAACATTAATAGAAATAGCTTTCTGCTTGTGTACCATCAGGATCAGCACATCGTAGCCCAGAAGGAGGCTGAATCAGGATGGATGACTCTGATGGGTATCACTTCAGGTCTATGGTGTTTAACTGTCTTGACAGGTTAGAAGAATATAGGCAGTATACGTTTATTTCTCTCAATAACTCCAACCTGTTTATCTTTGGAACCTAATTCAAACCAACATTTATTTGATTTTTCTGCTGTTGTATGAAATCTAAAACTAAAAAGACACAGTGGTAAAGGTGTGGAGATGTAGCACAATGCCTTTTCACACATCTTTACCACTGAAGGCTTCATCTGTTTAAGCAATGTAATGGCTTTTGGACTTTCTTTTTTACTATTCTGACCCCTATTTGTTCACACCCTGAAACGTGTGTTGCTATATATATTCATACTGTTAGCAGTCGACATAAATGAGAGCTGAGCATTTAGAGAGTTATCTAAGGGTTTTTCTTCCTCCTTTGTACAGACTGATGAGAAGAATCATTTAAACAATAAATGCTTAATGCTCATTTTCAGTATTTTGTGGTTTACTAAACACATTTTATTTTCTTTGCACACAAAAATGATAAATCAGTGTGACAAATGTATTACCGTGCTCGTAAAAGGGCAGAACAAAATCTATTTTTAATCGGTCATCAGTCTTGTGCTCGCTGTAGCCTTCCCGTTAATGTGACAACCTCCCATCAGACTGACATTTCCACTTTTGCTGTTATCACTATCATGGAAAAGTAACTTGGGTGCTTCAAATATGTAAATATACAGACCAACATACTGTTTTGATTAAGTTTTTTTTTTAAAAGGTCCCATGTGTAGGATTTAGTGGCAGTTAGCAGTGAATTTGCAGATTGCAACCAACTGAATACTTCTCGCGTCACTCTTCCATTCCAAGAGTGTAAGAGAAACTACACTTAAGTTGCAGGACTTAATTTATATAATGGGTTACACTTATTTTTGAGTTTATTAGTTGGTTTTGTTCTTTTCATCTTGTGCCCTCGTGGGAAGAAGAAGCGCAACTGTGTGCATTTTTGGTTTGTGTTTTGTTTATTTTCCTTAAATGACCAGAATAACTTTTCTCCAGTTAGTTCTTCTTCATTTTGATCAAATGAGACCATATAAATCATGAAGCTGATTGAATAACACCTCTGGTATATTCCTTGTCACTAAATCTGGCCTTACCTTCCTCTCCAGGGTATGACGAGATCAGGGTTGATCTTGCGAAAGAAGTACTCTCCTCCAGGCTGCCTGCCATTGAAGCTTTGGATGGGCGTGTCATCACTAGACTCCTCCTTCAACAGAGGTTCCTCTGGGTTTGGCCTTGTCATGCCGATGTACTTGGGCAGGAAGTGAATGAATACCTGCAAATTTGAGGTTAAGAAATCAGTGAAATCAGAGTTCTCAAAAGTATTGAAATACCTGAGAGGGATTTGCGTTAAACCTGGCCCCACCTTTCGAACCCAGTTTGGCATGATGTGCGTGCTGGGTGTTCGGTGGTGCAGATTGAGGACAACTACGCTTAGGATGACAGAGAAAGTGACCAGGATCATGGTGAACAGGACGTAGTTGACAATAATTGGGATGCCCAGGGAAGTCTCTGGGACCTTGTCAGCCAGCAGAAGCATGAAGACAGTCAGAGCGATGAGGACAGAAATGGAGAGAGTCATCTTCTCTCCTGCAGACAACAGGGACAGTTTGGAGAATTAATTATGACAGCGAAGCAGCAGCAAGTGTTACCCTGCTGGCTTCTGTTTCATGCTGACAAGGGCAAACTTCAACAGATGATTACATTCAACTGTTTGCACTGTACTGCGATAAGTTATTTTAACTCAAACGAATTGTTGCAATGGATTACATCATGTTTCTTGATTAAGTAGCTTTTGTTAGTCATTCTTAGTGGCACTAACTTAGTTTTGTTACAGAAACATTCTTGTGTAAGTACTTTTTACTAGGTGTTCTGTTTTCACAGTACACATAAAAATTACAAAATTAAGTCAGTGTCACTTAAAATTTTTTAAGCTACTTCTTCAAGAATGTTTTTTCATCTTACAAAATTGAGTTAGTTTTTACTTTTTTATGTAATCAGTTTCAATTGGGGTTATCTTTAAAAATATTGGCTTGTTTGAGAATAAAGAGTTTGCTGGTCCATTGTAGGTAAAGATGACAGTTGCCTGATTTAAAGTTCAGCATGCTCAAATTGTTTGCCATCAATCTATATGAATGTATATTTTCGGCTTTGTCAGTGAAACATCACTCTGAAATCTGCGCACACAAGTCCACACGACTGACAAAGTAGATTGCTCGCCAAGGTCACTTCCCTTCAGTCTATAATATATCAGTAAATTCCTTCAAAGCTATCCCTGCCTTATGGAGCAGTCTGTATTATGCTTCTTGTCATGACACTAGACACTGTATCAAGGGGGTAGTCTCCCTTCCTATATGCCGCCTTGGCAGTGATGTGTAGTCACAATGTCAGAACGTGTCAGATGTGCTGACCTGCTCCAGGAGGCAGGTAGAAGACAAATATAGCCAACACGCTGGTGAGGATGCAGGGCACGATTATGTTGATGATATAGAAAAGAGGCTTCCTCTGTATGATGAGGTAGAAGGTGATGTCCTCATACAGGTCCTCCTTAATGTTTTTTCTCGACGGTTTGTGACAGATGGCCCATTCTCCATTTTCTGTGGAGAAAGAGACGTGCAAGGCGATGAAGATACTGACATTAGTACGTGAGCTGTTTCCCATAATGTGTAAACTGAGAGATTTTCTTTTACTCTGGGGCATTTCTGAGTGTTATGAAAAGTAACATGTATGTTTATTTATTCTAGATTTTTAGGGCATATTTTATGATAAAGACATTTAAAAAATATGATTTACAAAGTCATTGTGCTACTATTTCAGAAATAACTACAGATCTATACAGTAAATGTCATACGGTACTTATAACAGGACAATAGGTTGTTGATGAGCTCATTCTAGGCACCAACCAGTGAAAGCGTTCTCATCTATAACAATCTCTTGGATCTCTCGGCCATCATCATCCAGGAAGTACTGCAGTTCCACCTCGGAGGCATCGTAGGTGTACGAGCGGAAAATCATGCTGCAGTTCTGCCAGTCGAACGGGAAGTACGACACCTGCAGGAATGGAAAACTGCTTCACTTTTCAAAGGGAATCTACACAAATATTTAATTCTGGATGAAGGTCCATAAAAATGGAAAGTAAAATATTAGGGTACTGCATATTTAATAGTAGATCAATTGAGCCATAAATTGTCCTTCCCCACAGGGAGAAAATACCACACAGAGAGAAATGAGTTGTTGATGGATCTGCATTTTTAGTTGTCAGTGCACTAGTGGTCCTTAAAGACCTAAAGTACCTCTATAGAGCAGGAGCTGCGGTAGATGGCTGGGGGGAGCCAGTTGACTGTCCCATCACTGTAAACCAAGACGTTGACGTAGAGAGCCACGTCAAACTGACCGTCATTACTGCAGGGAGGAAGACAACGGTGATGCTCACGTTTCGGGCACCTTAGTATTCCCTGACTTTTTACTTCTACATGCTGAACCTTGTAAATACATTTTCCGTCCATGCACTGTTGATAACATATATTTAAGGTGTATATTTATTTAAGACACGCAAACATGTTAACATTGTTAATACGGTGTCAAATGGGCCGATCAGCAGCAAGGACCAAGGACACTTCACATGTAGGAGGAGGTGGGATCAATGATCACAACACAGCTTTTCAAACACATCATTATCTTGCCCCTCCCAGCCAATCTCTGTTTGTTGGAGCAAACATTGACAATCCCTCCAGGTCTATTGGTGTTTTATTGTTATTATTATTGTTATTGTTATTATGTTATTATGTTATTATTATTTATCTGTATTAGCACTTTTTTATGGTCAATACATTTTTATATTTTTTATTATTCTGTTTATTTTGTCTATTCATTTATACATTTTAATTTGTTTTATTACTTTGTTTATCTATTCATACAACTCAGTTTTATTATTTGGTATATCCTTTTGTTAGTCTTAGTTTTCATCTTTCCTATTTCTGCCTCCAGTGGGGTTCCTCCCTGCAAATTGCATTTCCTCAGTTTGTGTTTTTATTGATTACAAAGACATTTATTACTTTGTGTGTGTGCACATTTTGCTTGTATGAAAAGTGCTACATAAATAAAGTCTGATTGATGAATTGATAAACAAAAAGTACTGATGAGGCTGACAAATTAAAGTGAAATTAAATTTAATTAAAGTCATCAATCACTAAAGTGACTACCATTCATCCTGAGGGGGGACATGAATTTCTGTACCAAATTCCATGGCAGTTTGCTAATAGTTGGTATTATTTCACTCAAAACCAAAACTGTCAAACTCGTGGTGGTTCTAGAAGTTAGCAGGTTTCATAAATGGCTGTACGAAAGTTGGTGGCAATCCATATAATACAGATATTACACTACTGAATTACATCACTTTACTGACATTGGCATCCGTGTTAGTCCAATGTTTTATCAAGTTTGCTAACATTTTAAAGTGAAATAAGTTTTATTGCTTTTCATAAAATCAGCTTTGTGTAGTATATGGATAACTGTAGGACTGCATATAGGACACTCACTTGTTTATGAGATAGACGTCAGGACGCCACACTTTGTTGGGAGGAATCCTCAAAACATCAATGTTGTCATAGTCCTGTGGATTCCATGACAACCTGTAGTCTGACCATGCCTGGGAGGGAAAGAAGGCAGCAAAGAAGGAGGGAGAAAAGGGTGAGGCAAAAGAAAATGAATAAGAGGCATAACAGAGCAGACGAGAGGTGAAATCATTACCACTGTGCCCTGATGTCTCTGTTATTTACATCCTAGTTTGCCCTGTCTTTGATAAGCCATTTAAACCCACACCACTGTCACAAACACTCAAACCGTCCCGAATTGTAATTAGCGAGGGCGAGGGCCAGAAATGAAGGAGTGAGTCAGAGAATAAGAGAGATAAAGCAAAGAATAATTTGTGGTTATAAAAAGTGACAAGTCCATTTGAGGGCGGAGCGAGTAGCGGGGAGAGAGGAGATGGGAGTCAGAGCAGCAGAGCAGCAGAGCGAGGCTCGGTGATGAAGATGAATGTTTCCATTCTCATACCAGATTCATGAACACATTGGTTGTCATCTCTTCATTCTTCTCATTCTGTAGAGGGATAGAGAGATACAGAGAAGATAGAAAGAGTGGGGACATACATTAGTGACCAGCATATCTTGTTGTGTATGACAGTGCTGTTACTTTCAATCCAACTCAATGTAAGCTAATTGGATGAATGGATGACCAGTGAGCTGGCCAGCAATGTGTGTGTGGACTGCGTAAAGAAAGCACATTTTTATAAGATAACTTAATGAAACAACTTACATAAATGATAAATAAAAAATGATTTATTCGCATGCATGTGCACGTTGCCTCCATCTTGGATTGTATGTATTTGTATTTACCAAGCTGACAAGCTGAGAGAGCGTCATCCCCACTCGAACCATCACCTTCTCCTCCCAGTAACGAGCTGGTCTGACTTTCATGTTGTAGTTCTCAAAGAGCTTCTGATGGAGCCTCCGCTCTGTTTCCGAGGCTCCTGGATGAAAGGATGGATGCAAAGAGACAGAAAATGAGGAGGGGGAAAATGATGCCTAATGAACCAAGCGCCACCGCCACCTGGACAAGACAAAATAATAGCAGAGAATGGTGATATGGACGAAAAATGAAGAGCAAAAAATACAAAAAGGGAAAAAAACTAACATTGATAGAGAGAAGGGAAGAAGGGGAGGGGGTATAAAGAGGGTATATCTCTTTATACATAAATTTCATTTATATAGTATAAGCTAATGACCGAGAAAAAATGCAGCTACTGGAAAATTGATACAGAACTCCATTACTCCTGTTTATATTGGTTAATTGGTCAGTTTTCATATTTAGCTTAAACTGGTTTTACTGATTAATAAAAGGACATGGGTTTTCACCAGTCTGCTTGTCTGAAAGGCTGCAATGCTTCACATGTTTTAAGACTATGTTATCATAATTTTTCTCTTAAAGCTGCAGTGAGTAAATTTTATAAAAATAACATTTTGTCATTATTGCTGAAATTTTCACTATAACCTGACAGTAGTACATGAGACAGATAATCTGTGAAAAAATCTGGTTCCTCTGGCTAGTTTTAGTGCTTTTTTGGGGGGGCATTTGCGAGAATCTAGCCTGAATCAATCAGAGCTGAAAAAGATATAAAGACCATTTGGGATGGAAGCTTGAAAAGATTTATTGTTGAGTCTCATTCCCAGGGTCCCAAAGTGTCCATATTTGACACCCTGGGAATGAGACTCAACAATTACTACTGCTACTGTCAGGATATTGTGAAAGTTTAAGCAAATATAACAAAAAGTTATTTTGATAAAATTACCTACTGCAGGTTTAAATTGTTTTATTGTCTGTATTTATTTATTTTATAATTATTCCCAATTTGAATTCTACATCTCTATAATGTTAGTTTAGTATACAATAGTCAAATATTATTTTATTGTTCAATTGTCTTATTGTTGCTATACAAATAAAGTTTGATTAATAACACAATTAACACACAAGTAAGAGAATAAAGCAGAGCTAAAACAAGAGTTAATGAAGTGTAAAAGACCAAATCTGTTAGTGAGATAAAGTAGATCGAGTACAACATAGCCAAAGCACGACACATGCTGCTGACACCCAGACCACAGTATGTTTGTTCTCTGTGGATCAGTGAGCCAGGCCCACTGTGGTTAGGGGTTCAGTTCCCACTGGGATGACCCATGTTAAAAATAAACTGTGAATGCTCATCTATACTCTGACTGGGTGAATTGGTACTCCGTCGGAGAATATGTATTTGTTCACCTTGCAGTAGAACCTCAGAACTGGCTTTAGTTAATTACCTAGAATTTACTCCAAGTGCGATAAACTTTCAGTCCAAATATGTGACCAAACAACATGTGGAAAAGGACAGACAGGACACGCAAAAGGAGCCGTGAGCAGGGCAGGTGCTGTACGATGGGTAGCAAAGGTGACTGAGCTAATGTAATTGATATGCAGCAGGGGGATGGGATCAAAGAGATGTCTGGGATAACAGTTCCATCAGGTCCAAAAATAGAGTCTGATTAACAAACAATGATGTGTTAATATGATTCATTATATTTTCCAGAGCAGGGCAGTATTGGGTAAAAACCTTTGACGAGACATAGAATAAGGACTTCTTTTCATTGGGATTTCCCCCTCTGTGGGGCCTGTTTCTGTTCTCTCTGTCCTCTCTGTCCTTTTGCTGTTGGCCCCTCTCTTTGGGTAAATATGGTTGTAAAATTGCCCTAGCTGTAGGACAGAGGGCCAGGAACAATACACCACAACCCCTGTGGAGGTCACCAACCAGTGCAGCTTTTTGCTTTCCACTGCCACTGTAAGGGTCGGAGGGTCAAAGTCAAAACCCTTCAGCTGAGCTCAGATAAGAACTCGTCATCGCAAATCGATTCCAATTCTGATTTAATCAAAGAAAAAAGAGGAAGTGGAATCAATACCAATTTAACTGACTTAATGCAGTGCAGTGGGATGTGAGATGCTTGTCTGTTATCTGATCATACCGTAGAGAGTACAAACATGCCTCCATTTTTATGCTTGCAAAAGGTAGAAGGGATTTTCTTCTGGGTATCCCAACAGGAAATAGGTACAGTAGCAGTGTTAGGACAGACAGGGGACTGCACCACAGGTTGCCAACAAGCACAGGGCAACTGTTTGTTTTCCAAGCACAATATGAGGGTCAAAGGTCAAACGCAGTGGAACATATTTGTTTTTCTTTCTCCCCTTTTCTTTCTATTCCTCCCTGTCACCGTACAGTTCGGACATGTACATCAATATTTAAAATACAACATATTGCTGTGTGTGTTTAGAGTTGCAAAATCCTTGAGTTAGTGCCAGCAAATGCTGTATGTCTTCCGTATTAATTCAGATTAAAGAAAATACACTATGATCTCGGTTTTATTAAATCTATCTTGAAGCCGTTATATCAGCTCATATAAAACTGAGAAAATAGTGAAATCACTGAGTCATGAAACAAGGATTCCATAAAATGTCCTTACCAGTTAAAGTGAGACAAAGGCAGCTGCATACGATGATAAATGTGTTCATCCTCACAGGACTGTTCATCCTCATCTTCATTTGTCCAATCATGACAGTCATGACATCTTACTCTTTTTTTGTTACAATTAAAGGCCCCACTCTCCGCTATATGGGCACTTTGAGCCCTCCGTACCCTCACCTGGAATCTAGATGGAGAGTCCTGAGAAGACACACCTTTCTAACTTAGGCATTTGCATGAACACCTTCAGCTGGGTCGCGGCTAGTCGGCACCTTCAGCAGCGCACACTGTTCAGCTGACGGCTTTCTCTCTTGCCCCTTCGTCCCTCTGTGGCCATGGCTCCATGGGTAAAACCACGGTCTGATTGGGTGCGCGTGCTGGGAGTGACGAGAGGGCGGAATGTGTTTGTACTGGGAAGCCTGTAGGGCAGACACCTGTTGGTGCTCACCAATCTGAGGTTAGCACTATGGGGACGGTGGGTGGGAGGAAGAGGAAGTGGAGGGGGTGGGATGGGGCAGAGAAATGGCAATGGGCTACGGGTTATGACAATGGAGATATTTTTGGGGGTAGAGCAAGTGGGAGGGGTGGAGCGTGGAGTTGATTGGGGGTTGACTTTCTCTGCGGACGAAGAAGGATTGGTGGTTGTTTGGTGGTTAATAGGTGAAATATCTTACTCAATTCACTTAATGCTTTCTTCATCCTGTAATTAACCTCTCCCCCTATTCTTTCCTGTTAAATCAAATCTCGACGCTTTCATCCCTTCAAACAATGGTTTTCAATGGAAACAATGGTGGAATTCAAGCCATACCTTATACGTCTGGGTAGTTTATTTTATGAAAAATAACAAAAAAAAATCCTGTATTACTAACCGTGCATTAATTTGTGGGATGAACCTGTCATAAATTTTCCAATTCTAAGTCCTTTATAAAGTTGTACAATCAGCTATCTTGAAACTACCCTTCTTCCCAAGTGGCGCCTCCCAGTGGTAGAATTAAATATTACATTGTGGCAGACGCAGATAGAAGGGAGGGATGTGATGAAGGAACGGCAACGATTATGACAATGTCCCATGATTCCAACCTGTTCACTGAGATGAAAGATTTGAAACTGCAGACTAGGCACATAGTAAGTAATCAGAACAAATGGATTACCAGAATTGAGCTGGAACTTGAAATAACCTTCAATTAGTTAAATAGTGAGTTCAGGAAGGATAGAGATACCAGATTTGCCGTGACAAGTAAAATAAAGAGAGAGAGAGATTAAGAAATTTAAGTTAGTAGAGCAGAAAAGACAAAGTTGACATGATGTGACTTTATGCGTCTCTGAGCCATTAAAGCTAATGTACGTGTGGAAATTAAACTCATAGATGCTGAAATCCTCGGGTCCACAGATGCTGTGGAGTGAAAACCTGTAGTATGAAGTTGCTGAAGCAGAGTCCAGAGTTACCAAACATCTTGGCAGGAGCAGTGAGGTGTTGTCAACAGTGATAGAGTGAGGTCTTATAGGATTCATGAGTCTGAGCAGGGAAAGAGCAACTCAGTCTTGCCGATATTGAGTTTGAGGTAGGCTTGAGGCGAGAAAAAGATAAGCACTTCGAACAAGATATAAAAATAGAGATGGATGTTGTTGCCATAGAAATGGTGAGGAAAGTTCTGAGGAGCGAAGACTACAAGCGCTGTGATCGATGAGGTGAAGGCCTTGGAATGAACTCTGGATCCTGCTGCTTCTTGGATCCTTCATGTAGCTTTTTATGAAGTTGGTATTTCAAGTTATTTTGTCTCTTACACAAGATAAGAAAATACTCACTGTCTTTCCATCACCCACTCTCTGCCTCTACTTTGTGTTGCATCTGAGGTCATGACATCCCTCTCTCCCTCACGCTGGTCAGACTTTCCCGTGCAAAAACACAAACAGGCTATAAATCAGTCCCCAAGTTGAGAGCTGAGAGAGGGAAAATGTCTCCGACTCGCCCTCCTGCATGCCGCCACTACCAGTATAAATACATTAGTCAGAAGTGGCTCTGTCTTGTTTTAGTGTATCTGTCAAACAGCCCGTCTCCTCAATGCTACAATTTCATGCAAGGTCAAAGTGTTAGATAATAAGCGGAGGATGGAAATGAGTGCAATTCAAGCAATGCTGCAGCCAGTTCCATTATACTGAAGCGCTATCAGCACCGTAGCCACAATGAGCTGTTGAGAATGACTGCGTACTTTCAACCCTCAAACGCTTTAACTCGCACTTCATATATGCATGAGTGTATTTACACACAGAAATATCAGGGAAGCCCATGCGGCAGTGTCAGGTAACCAGTGCCAGTGTGTGTTTGTGTAGGATGATTATTAATAGTAGAGTGGGTTAGTGACGGAGCGAGGGTCGCAACTCTCACGGCAGCATTCTGACAACAGATGGAGTCTTTGATATCCTCCCCTCAGATCTTTATTTAAGAAACAAAAACAGAATGAAGGCACAAGATTAAAAAGGGCAGGTGTGTGTTTGTGTCGTGTGAGAGAACCAAAAAGACGTGCGGGCTGCGTGTGTATATCTGCCAGAAAGTGAGGCACTAAGGTCTCCTATATAATGGGAATTCCACAGGCTATTGGTGCAGCTGGTGAAATGAGTTGGTATGCTGCTCTGCACTCCGACATAAGAATATCCTCCATGCAAAACCAGCGCCGAAAATACAAAGAGGATTACTATGGCCGCGAAAATATCCACAAAGCATGTGCCACACTCCAGCACATTCTGACACAGGGAAATGAAAGGCAAACAGCTTGCTCATTATAGCATCTGGTTTGTTTTGGTGTTTATGTGCGAACACCACATGTGAATATCCTACGTTGGATTCTAATGCACTAAAAGACACACCAGTAGCTTAGGTTTATGTATTTATACAAGTCAAGTATGCTCACATTGGCTTGGTTGGTATATTTCATGCAATCATCAACGCCCCTTGCACACATAATGCTGTTTTGGCTAGTTTAAATGATCTATGTCAAGAGATCTGTCCAAGTATTTCTTGGCAGCAAGACATTTCCATGTGATTAGGGCAACAGTACTGAGGCCGAGAAGTTCTTGAGCACTGTTGCTCATTCAACCGAAAATCCACAAGATGGTCATACATTTGTATATACTTGCAAATTGAGGTTGAATGCAAACAAAACCTGGCAGGAATTCTTGACAGCCTAAAATGCCTTCCTCTAAGGGTGGGTAGAATAAAGATGCCCTTCTGTTCAAGCTTAAAAACTTTATAAATTACAGTCTTTGCCTTCCATATGGCCAAGAATTAAAGTGTTGTATTGGAAATTATAGTTTGACACAATAATGGAATATTGTCAGGATGTATTTCAACATTTGACACTGTCTACACTATAGCAAATGAATAAAAATAACATCTTGAGGTCATCTGGGGTTTGCCAGTCACAGAATGTAAATTGGCAGCGCTATCCAAGACACAAGATGAAAGTGGAAAATGTGAATTTCTTGCCTGGAACACACATAAGAGTTTCTCATTTGCTGGCACAATGGGCCGATGGTTACACCCAGAGAATCATTTAGCACTTTAATAATACAGTGATTTCTTCATCCGTGTTTGCTGAGATCAAATGAATCAGTGGGATCAAATGAAATCAGCATAGGTATAGCTCAAAAGATCCAAATGTCCCACTGCTTCAGGGGGATTTGAAGGGATCGGTGGGGGTGTGGTTGAAGCTGGCATCGGCGAAGATGGCCAAGGTGCCCACAGTGGTGAAGACAACAAAGATCCAGAGGAACATGCGGTCAACAACCATGGCCACGTACTGCCAGTCCTCCCTTAGCTGGACAAGGATGGATGGGTGAAAGGAGGGATGAATTCAACAGAATTGGAGAAGGAGAAGAGGGGAGGGGAATGAGGAGACATGAGGAAGGAGAAGTGGTGGGAGGACGGGAAAAGACAGACAGAAAGAAGAGATAAAAATAAACCAAATAATTATTTTTTATAGGAACAAAAAAAAGGAACAAAAAAAATGTGTTCTAAGAAGGAATATAGGAGTGAGGGAGAAAATGGTGAAAGAGTATTATAACTGAGACAGGTAAACTTACAGCTTCGTAGTCCTTCTCCGCCTGCAGAGCCTCAGCGATATATGTGATGGCCTCTATCGCCGACTTGAGCTCGTCAGGTAGCGTGAGGTAGCTGCTTGGGCCGTCAATGAACTTTCTCAGATCTGTACACATGCCCTCTGGGTGAAACCTGCACGGCAACACAAACACAAACACATCAATGTTGCAGGCAAATATCCATAATGCACAACATTCAATATAACAAATCCATCTCAGGATCGATTCGAAGGAATGTGGAGTGAGTGCACGGAAAGTGTCAACATTCACACTGAAGCACGAGCTTGCAGAATGTAGCAATGTGCGAGCAGATGTCGGTCCGGGCTAATTAAAAGCTGTAAAATAGTAAAGCGTTTATGAGGCAGGCTGCAAGTCTCCTTTGCACTCTTCTGTCATTCAGAGAGGAATAAAGAGAAGGTCAGAGGAGCTCCCCGGGCTCGCTGTGACAGTGTGGGAGTCACCGCTCTGCATCTGCTGACTGGGCTGCTCTGGCTGAGAAACCCTTTGTGTGTGTGTGTGTGTGTGTGTGTGTGTGTGTGCGTGTGCGTGTTTCTGTGTTTACCTGTTGCCCTCAGTAACCAACCGTCAGCTGCCACGGTGTGCCAGCAGTTGCTGTCACTCACAGATTTTCACACGACAGGTCTAACAGTAGGTCAAATTAGTTCTTTATTAAAGTCACAACAAAGAAATGAAGACAGAAATCAACAGACGAGAGGGATTTTAGGCATGTTGTGCTGCGAAACGATGTTCTACTCTCTTGGAGAGTGGTTGGAGAGAGTGATGGAGGAAACTTAGTTAGGCTTAACCTTTCTGGCTAACTTCGGTTTCCAGATATGTCATTAATATGCACACTGTCCCTGCCAAATAAAGTGATAAACTAACATCCAACATTAGCTCAGCCATCATAAACTACTGGTCATACCCGACCAAGCAGAGCTGTAGCTTGTTGAATTGAGTGAGGAGTTGATTTCCAATGAATTCAACATTTCATTTGTAAGAGGACAAATGTCATATTTCTTCTCTCAGAAGTCTCGCAGAACACACGGCTACTGAAGAAACTCAAAGCGTTACTCATTAACCTTCTCTGCTCTGATTTCCCCTGCTGCATTTCTACGCATA